TCAAGGACAGGTATGCTCATCACCAAAGCCAGCACCCAACTACTCTTACTACTGACTTTCACCTTGTTCACAGTGTTGAATAAATATAAAAAAATAACTATCCTCTACATCCTTTGGTGGTCCCTCCAGGCCAAGATTGGGACATGGGGCAGAAGGGGCAGTGTGGAAAAACTTGCACACCTAATGTCGGTGCTATACTGGCAGATAGGGATTTCAGTATCCGGAACTGTCAAATAAGTCAGCAACTTTCACCTATGCTACCTTCACAGAAAGACTTAAAAGTTTTTTTGTTATTTATTTAGTAAGAAGGGATACATATGGGATTTTAGTAGCACATCCTCCTCCTCACCAGTTTCCATTTACTACTACTCACTCTGTTCCAGGTCCCAGTTACTTATGAACTGGGACCAACTGGCCTAATTTTAAACCTACAAACTTCTTAGCTCGACATCAACGAGACATACTTCGCCTTAGACAAGACTGAAATCAAAAGCTGTTAAAGTGTGTAAATGTATTTAAATTCTTTAACTGAGCACACTTTATTAAAATGCATAGAAATTCCATGATCCTTCCCATAGTTCATCATGTTGCATAGCTCTATTATATCAAAGTAAATCATAGCGTTACTCAGTTCACCTTAGAGAAATAATGGATTTTTGTATATAGCATCTATACCTGAAAAGTGGCATGGTACCTTTTGACCTAAGAGCTTATTCATTGCAAGTTATTGGTTGCTCTGATAGATGTGTCATTAACTGTCTAGTCTGCTTTGTCCTTGATATAAAATAAGGAACTCTTTATGAAACTTAACATTCAAAATAAATCGTTACAATATCTGTCCATTTTTATATGCAACACTTTGGCTCTAGCATAGTATTTTAATTTCCAAAAAGAACACTTACCTGTAGAAAAGGTGCAACCAAAAGGAGGAACTGGCATTCCCATCTCTCCATAAGAAAGGTGGTCATCTTGCTGACTACACTGATAGCAATCCAAGAGATGTTGTAGGGGATATTGCAAGGACAGACCTAAAAATAAGAAAAAGAATACATATGTATCAGGATTTTAAGCTGTTGAAATGAAACCCACTAACTTCCTTGGGTCAGAGGTCTTGCCAAGATTTTGTGGACTCATCCGCGTTGATGGGGTTCTGCACTTAGTCATGGAGCCGAAGTACTAGTCATAATTTGAACACTAAACAGAAGAATCCACGACTTGCGCCGGGCATTTGCTATACCATTAGCTACACCAACCTAGTTAGAAACGTCTTATCGAGACGTGCCAGTCAAACCCCAGCATCATGGATAGCTGCGAGCACCTCCCCCGGCTAGACAGAGCCATCCAGTGGGGTGATCTCTCCAGAGAGGGGGCGCTGCAGCGATGGGGCCGTCCAAGCAAGGACAGAGCACCAGGGGCCGCACTACAGGAGACACACCCGTGCATCGGTCCCGCTCGCCGGGGAGAGAACGGGCACCTGCCGTCCCTCCCTTCCCGGGGCCCTGGCACCCACCCCCTCGGGTCGGGGCCGAAGCCGGGCAGGCGGTGTCCGGCTGGGCGGGCGGGGAATCCCAGGAGATGCGGGCTCAGCACAGTGGGAGCCAGGGATCCAGCCACCCGGATCCCGGGGAGCAGAGGGTCGGGCCCGAGGATCGCGATCCGTTACTCACGTTGCGGCCCGGCCTGGGCCCGGCGGAGGAGCGAGCGGCAGAGCATGACCCGTTACCGTTACCCACGCAGCAGCCGGGACACGAATGAACACAGCACCGACCGTCCACTCCCGCCACCCGAATTACCCGCCAATTCGCCAAACTCCATTCCCGCTCCCCATTGGACAGCACGACGGAGGCGGGGCCAGAGGCCACACCCGCCAGCTCCCATTGGACAGAGGCTCCGGGGCGGGACCACGAGACCACACCTACTTCCACCGCCCCCATGGTAGATACTGCCGGCGCTAAGGCTAAGGCGGTGGGTGGAGGCGAATCACTGCACACGAGCTCCTACTGGAGCGCGGTGCGCATGTGCGACAGACCCAGGGGCGGGATTATGAGCCTAGCTGAGTCCACACGTGTACAGCTAGAGATAGCGCATGCGTCCGCAAACGCAGTGGCGGGAACGTGTCAGTGCGTGCGCACGCTGTAACCCAGTCGGGGGTGTGGTGAATCGCGCATGCGCAACTGCACAAGACGGTTAGGGGCGCTGGTAGCCGCGCACTGAGTTTACGGGCCGTGCTACGGGCTAGTAGCAGGAGCGGGGAGCGCTATGGCCGCCGGCGCTAAGTCCTTCCTGGCGGACGCGGGCTACGGCGAACAAGAGCTGGACGCGAACTCCGCCCTCATGGAGCTGGACAAAGGTAGGGGGAAGCCGCCTACGGCCCTGCTGTGGCACGCACGGCGCATGCGCGGCACAGACTGGCAGCCCCGCCTCATTGTGCCGCCCCGCGGAGAGCGCACAGTCGGCGCCCGCGGCGTTCGCAGCCCCGCCGCCTCTTGCCGCTCCCCTGGTGTGACCGAGCCCGCTGGGCGTCTGGCGGGAATTCTGCCCCGTGCGGGTTCTCCCGCTGTTCCCGCCCCCTATCCCCGCAGCATCCAGCTGTGCGTCCTCCTGCCCGACTAACCTCTGTCCCCGGCGCGTTCGCTCATCCCCTCCCCGTGTGCCAGTGTCCTGGGCTGGGGTTTGTTTTAACTAGATCTGTGTGTGTAGCTGTGGGGTCATGTTAGTGACCGCAGGGTCACAGAAATGTGCCTTGGACTGACAGCAGAAGGTGGCTTGTGATGGCCCTTAGTTCCTGTAAAAGTTCATAGCACAGTCTTGTTGGGCCGGCCCTTGAGCAATCTCTGTGTCCTGCACAAATGAGCTTTACCCCTATTGTGCCAGGGAAGAGAAGTTGTTAACCACAGTCTTCATCCCAGAGCTTTGCTTGATCTCACAGGGCAGGTCTACACTAAAAACACTCCATCCGCAGCTGTGCTGATGCTCTAAGGTGAGGGGAGAGCTCTCATAATCCACCCCTGCAAGGGGCAGTAGCTATGTTGGTGCTGAGGTTGGCATAATTGCGTGGCTCTGAGGTATGAATTGTTCACACAGCTGAATGACATAGGTATATCAAAGTAATTCTGGAGTGGAGACCTGTCCTTAGATACCTTGGGTCTAGATCAGGTGTAATCAATATATTTTTTCATAAAGGTCCAAATTTCTTGGCCAACGTCCAGACTCCAGAGAAAACAATATAAAAAATAAGTAAATAAAAGACTTTGCTGTCTGTTCAAAAGCTTCTAGTGGTGTGGATTTGGTGCATGATCTGCCTATTGAGTACCTGTGTAAGGAGTGGAGGACAGGTCTGATTTGTTTGTGGCAGCCAGTGTTGCTGAGGACATGTGCTGCAGCATTCTGTACCAGTTGGAGTTTCCTAAGCACTGAAGGTTTCACATCTATCTATGTTGCATTGCCGTAGACCAACTAAGAGGTGGTGAAGGCATTAATAACGGAGGCCAGGTTATCTTTGCCAGGATGTGACAGAATCTTCTAGCCAACTGGAAATGATAGAAAGTGGTGTTTTTGGATGCTGATGTATGAGAGCTTAATGTTGGTGAGGAATCCAGGAGCACTTCTAAACTATGGACTGAATAGAATTATTTGTTTTGAAAAAAATAATTAATGTGAAGAGTTGTCAAGTACAACATGACCTAAACTAGTTGTAGCCTTCTCATGCTACTGCAATATACATGTTTAATAATAATAAATAAAGTGAATCTGGATTGAAGTCTGTAGGAGAGCTGATGGGGATGTCAGGGCCTGGAATTTGCAAGATTGTGCTCGCTCTGTTGCCCATATTCTGTGTATCTAATACCTCAGTAATATTTGTCAAGCATATTCCTGAACTGACTTCTGTAGTACCAAAAAGGAAACAAAAAGTAGTACACTTAGTGACTATTCATGCAACTTTTAAATAGTGTTAATTAAGAGTATATTTGTATTTTGCTTGAAAGCTATCCTGCTCACTAGTTAATGATGGAAGACTGATGATGACTCAGTTTTCAATTGATAGGGACCAAAGAGACGTTAGTGCATAAAAGTATTTAAAAATGTCAGTTTTAAATATTCTCTGCGGAAAGAACATTTAACTTCCTGTACATTTTCAGAAAACTCAAAATTACCCTGAGAGTTTACATATTCTAATGTATGTATGTTTTATCCTATCCAAGACCCAGATCCTACACACTTAAGCATGTGTGTCACTTTGCTCATGTGAGTGGTCCTGTAGTCTTCAATGGGACTACTCATGTGAGTAAAGTTAAATGAGTGTTTGTGTGGTTCAGGATCAGGTCCAACTGTAATAGATGTTCTCAATATTCATATAAATGTGTAATCCTTTCTAAAATATCCAGCCAAGCTTTCTGCCTCAATGGTATCTTTTTGGCAATGGGTTCTGTGGGTTAACTGCATTGTGATGTGTGGGGAGTGTTTCTTTTTTATCAGTTGCAGATTTATTACCTTTCAATTTCATTAACTTTCCCCTTAAGTTTCTATTGAGACGGTAAATAGCCCAATTTACCTCCTATATTAGATTTCAGTCATGTTCCATCTTATTTCCACTCTAGATAATCTCAAGTTTTTCAGTCTTTCCTCAGAGAAAACCATAGCTATACTGCTAGAAAATAATTATTGTTGTTTTTCACATAGGCCTCAGGTCTGGAAAACTTGGGGAGCAATGTGAAGCTGTTGTCCGTTTTCCCAGGCTCTTTCAGAAATATCCATTCCCCATTCTCATTAATTCTGCATTCCTAAAACTGGCTGACGTTTTCAGAGTTGGGTAAGTATTGTACTGCTTCACATCCCTGATTCTCAGGTAATTATTTTCTCTGATCTATGTTCCTTTGAAGCCTAGATAATCTTCCTGCTTTCCCTACTTCACAGCTGCTATCCTGTCCAAGGAGGGTTGGATGGACTCTGTTTTGAGCCAGCTGACATCATCCTTAGTGATTTGGAGTGGTAATGAACAATTGACTGCATTGTCATTCTGTCCTTCTAAAGCTTTGTTGGCAGTGGGAATTTGCCCGTTACAACCATTGTTGATCAGCCAGCAATGTAGATGCACTGCTGCAAACCCCTAACATCAACAGGTTCAGAGATCTTGCAAAGAAGATTAAAACACATCAGTTCTCTATTTGTGATATATATAATGAAAGCCTGATCTGTAGCTGTTCCAAATGAGAAGTTCCCATTGAAGTATGTGGCAGAGTTGGGGCTGCTCTGTAACTTATAATATTGACCTGGTTGTTGAGATATTTACTATATGAATATACTGATTTAGTTTAACAGGGGGCTCTAAGGAAAAAACAAGCAGGAAGGGAAACCCAATGGCTTATCTTGAGCCAAACACTTGAGGGTTGTTAAACAGGTAATGCCATTACTGGAAAAGGCTTGCACACAACAGCCATCAACAGGACTATAGCATTTTGAAAAAGGATGCCCTATTGAGAGGTGGAAATGATTTGGTGAGAGAGACAGAGACATGGGGATCATGCTGGGGCATCTGAAGGAGCTAGGCCTGCCTAGGTCATTATCACAGAATGGTAGGGCTTAGGTGGGATAGACATGCATGTAGACTTGATTTTGAAATCCTTTTTCTCTAAATTATTTGTTTCTACTGTTAAAATAAAGTCCCACCCCCTTTTTTTTTAAGAATGTCATGTGATCACTACATGCGCCACTGCTGGTCATAGCTCCCCAAGGGAAGAACTGCAGTGCTGGATCTAGTCAAACCTGCAGGGTAATTGATACACAGAATACTGTAGCCCAGGGTTCAGTCTTAGTGGAAGAGTTGCAGAATTCCAGCCCGGGATAGATATAGGCATGAGGCCTGATGCCTGAGATGTGGTACACTCAAAGACCACAAAGGGGCAGAGGTGCAGCTAGCCCTGTACTTGTGGCAAGGTCAGTGGGTGTGTTCTGGGTATGGAGCAGCTGCAGGATCCAGTCCTTAAGTGTGGGTGTATATGGCAAACATAGGTCCCCCTGACACCTGCATCCCCTCAAACCTTATTGCAGTACTACTACTCCCAATATATTTAGCATCAAGACTGCCATTAACTTCAGTAGGAAAAGAATTGAACCCAAAACATATACTAATCCTAGTACAAAACAAATGTAAAATAGAGTGTTTTGTAGTGGTCTGTAAATTTAATTTAAATCGGTTAGAATCATTATTCTGATTCTCAGCTTGTTTGTGAATTTCCATTGCACAGAAGTGTGTGTGTATATATCTATATCTGCACATATATCTATATCTGTATCTTCCAATAGAAACAACTTCTTGAGGCTGTGTGTCCTGAAAGTTACTCAGCAGAGTGAAAAGCACTTAGAGAAGATCCTGAATGTGGATGAGTTTGTGAAAAGAGTTTTCTCTGTAATTCATAGCAATGATCCAGTTGCTCGAGCAATCACACTCAGGTATGTTTTGCTAATTTAAAACTACTTATCGCAAGTCTTTGTGACAGCTGTTTAGTTAGAAAAGTAAATGTTCATCAATTCTTTAGAGTCTTTAAAAACTGGAATTAATTCTGCAACATTAAGAATGAAAAGCAGGCTGTTTCTTCTTATTGAAAGTACAAGACAGCTGTTTTAAAGGGAATAAGGTAACACATTTGTGACCAGAATAAGGAGGATACTAGATATCCATTTGACATGGTCAGAGTTGCGTAGATGTATCAGAAAGCAAAACTGCATCTTGTATATGCAATATTGGTGGGTTGCATGTACAAGTACCTTAACTTGTGTTTTCTGCCTCCTGGAGTGTATAAAACGTGTTTATCAAATGCAAGTGTGTTAATGTAACATACTGAGATCACAAACTGCATACATTTCCAGTATGGTTCCACTACGGCTTGTACAAAACTGGAATAATTTGTTGACTTTAAACAACAAATATTTTTTTTATATATATCTGACTTATTTTCACCATTTCTACTGATCATTTTAGATTTTTTTCCATTACCTCTACCCTTGAAACTTTCTGCTCACTGTCCTATGATATGTGAACTTGGAGGAAGTTCCAATGCATTATCCAAGTAGTGCACAAGGTGTAAACTCCTAACTCCCAGGAAAGCCACTAAGAAATGCACAGTCAAAACTTGTGTAATTTTAATAATGTTAGAAGTAACAGACTGGATTCACCCAAACCATCATGGAGTAAATTGCACTTCCTTGGCCAGCTTGGGTGCTCTGCCAAGGGTGAGAGACCTCACCCTGAAAGAGGACTTGTGGTGGTTCCACTGCTTTCCTCCCTTAAATTTTCTGGAACTTTAATTGAGCCCTGTTGGTGTAGCTTCTCAGGTGATGTCTTGGGTCGGCTCAAGTCATGAGCACATCTTGATAGATTAATTATAATTGCTTGCTGGTTCAGCAATTAAAAAAAAAAATCTACAGTTGGTTAGTTTTGTCCTCAGTAAGCAGTTATGAGGAGAAGGAAGGCACAGAGTTTTGTGCTAGGTAGGAAGCTTTTGACCATATATTATGTATGTCTGAGCTTTCTTAAAGGAATTACTATAGATCTAATTCCTATCTTCATAGTTGATTTTCACTCTGATTCACATTTCCCTACACGTTGAATTAGCTGTTTTCTGATGCCGCTGTGATTTATTTCTGTAGGATGTTGGGGAGTATGGCATCCATAATCCCAGAAAGGAAGAATGCACACCACAGTATTCGCCAGAGCCTGGATTCCCATGATAATGTTGAGGTCGAAGCTGCTATATTTGCTGCTGCTAACTTTTCTGCGCAGTCAAAGTAAGCTGTAAATTCTTCTGTGCTCTTATTGTTTGTATTTTAAGGAGTGGAAGCGCTATTAATACAATAGGACTCTTCACTGTCCTTCAGTAAATCTGGGATCACCTTCTGCAGTACTTGCCATGCCATATATACGGAGATACAAAAGAGATCTGTACCATTTATAATGTACAGCATGAATGTTGCAGGAAACCTGAAATCATATTTAAAATCACCCCCAGCAGGGGCATTTGAATCTCATTGAAATTTGCTTGCATTTTTTTTTTAAAAGCTGTGAAGAAAAGTTAAGGAATATAAGGGGAAAAAACTTTAAATGAATGTCAACTTAAAAAAAAAATCACACTTATCTAAATTTTTCCTTCACTTTTAAAATATAATCCCTGAGATTTCTGTAATTCAAAGGGATTCAAGGGGAATTTTTTTCCATTTTTTACTTTGTACTTTAGACAGTATTTTGCTTCATTTTTCCTTTATAGTCAGTTATCCTTGTTTTTTTGTGAGTTATTTTACTGAGGTGAAGATGATTTAAAAAATCCCAAAACCCCAAAAAAGGAAGAGAGATTATAAAATGGCAAAAATTGGGAAGGGGACTCCGTGGCAGATATAGTGTCTGAAACTACTTTCAACTTTTTTTAAAAAAATGTGTATTTGAAGTTGGTAGTGTTGCTCTAAATTTCCTACAACCTACTCTTAAAATGTTAAGAATGTCAGGAAAGTGAGTGAATCTGGCCATTACAATTGTATTTTTATGTGAAAAAAAATTCAGTGGACTCCATTTAAGAGGGGTGTCAATATGTTTCGAAACCAAACTGCCATTTTATACAGTTCCTGCAAGCACAAATGATGAACTGTATAGGTTGTGGGGTTTTATTAAAAGAATCCCCAAAACCGTCTTGTGCAATTTTAAGAGGAAAATATTTTGTAACATTACATTACCTGTGTTTTAACAAAATCTGAGTCAATTTCCACCTCCCTGGAATCTGCACTGCAGACTCCCTAATTTCTCTCGGGGGGGAAGGAACTAAGTGACAATAAACTGTCGTAAACAAAGGTTTGAAAGAACCATCCCTTCTGTTTATGGAGAGTTTCATAAAAATCACAATCTTAGTAGCTCATTTTAATAGAACATGTGCCTAAAACTCCTTTATCCTTCAGGTTCAGTAATTAACCCCATTAACCTATTTTTTTTTTTAATCAATTGTCTCTTACACCTGGAGCACCCTATATCTTGTTCTACGAATAAAGACTGGGGTCAAATAAAACTTCTTGCTGTTGTTCAAATAGCATTACACAAGGGTAGGGAAAGCTTTTGGTTGTACCAGTCTTTCCCTAGAATATTAAGTCTCTACAAAAGAGCACTTGTAGCAAATGACATTGTTTAACACACAATATAGTGATTTTAAAAGAATGTTAGCATCGGAGCAAATGTTCCTACTTGTGTTGGTGCGGATAAAGATGGGCAAGAGACTCAATTCTACAGTTAGGCTAAGTATTAGACTTGGTAGATCTATAATCTCAGTTTGAAAGTCTAGATTGATGGAAACTATGCAACAAGTGGCTAAATGTAGTATTATTCTGTGATGTTGACTAGTAGCAGCAAATTTCAGTCAAGCAAATAAATGTCTTTCTGGATTTGCAAAATTACTCTTAAATCTTGAAGTTCATAAGCATAATTCTGCTTTTTATAGTCCCTCTTAATTTCTTGGATCATTATTAAACCATAAGAGTCACAATTTGAAGTTCAGTTGTGTCTTTTCTCTTCACAGGGATTTTGCTGGAGGAATATGTAACAAAATCAGCGAAATGATTCAGGGTATGTAGGTGTATTGAATATTGGGAAGAAAATGAAAAGGTTTTAATATTTATTTTAGTATTGTTCCTCCTAATGTTTAAATGCTACCAGAATCCATTGCTCCCTCATCCCTATGCTTCCCTGAAACATTCCAGTTGCCTGAAGTTAAGTGAGCTAATGATTGATGCACAGCAGGGCTCTGGACTACAGCTTGAATGTCTTTAAAAATGTAAACGTCCAAAGCATGTTCTAATGTATTTGGTAAACTGAACTGTGTGTGTTATAGCATGTCCAAATACTATGTAATGTGGGTTTTTATGTTGACTTAGAATCTCTAGGTTTCTCTCCTTGCCTCTATTCTCTGACAAGGCTGCTCTTCTGCCTTGAGCCTTTTGCAGTGACTTAAATATAACAACATTGGTCTCTTTTCCTTTATTATAATTGGAATAATGTAATTTAATTTGAAGGATGACTATTAATATAATTGAGGCACATCTGAAGGAGGAGTAATTGTTTCCCAGCCACTTTACTCATCCATTCTTGAGGCCATTCTGATTGAGGAAGGCTGGGTCCCCGTCTCCTTGGAAACTGACAGTACTGCTCTTTAATGGGCTGGTGGAGTCTGTTTAGCTTGCTGTTTCAGGAATTTAGCTGCTGCTTTCCACTACTGGCCTTTACTTTGACTTTCTGTGCTTGTGTCTCAGTCACCAATGTCATTTAAATTAGTATTTGAAAAGTTCAGGGTTCATTGAGATCTGCTCTGACCCCTGAATACCTCTTTCCATGCATTAGGCTTAGCCACGCCAGTGGACTTGAAGCTGAAGTTGATCCCCATACTACAGCACATGCACCATGATGCCAGCCTGGCCTCTAGCTCCCGTCAGCTTCTCCAACAGCTGGTAACATCCTATCCTTCCACCAAGATGGTCATTGTTACTCTCCACACCTTTACCTTGCTTGCTGCTTCCTCTTTGGTGGACATACCCAAACAGGTAACACTTAATTGCTTTAAAGGTAATCCCTTATTTGAAAATGCAAAACAGCTTAAACAGATCAGTTCCTTTCTGATGGCAAAAATAGTTAAATCATTGTCTGTGTTCTGGCCTGCTGCAGATGAGAAGTATCCTAGAAAGTGCTATTTTTTATATATAATTTTTTTGTCTCTTCAACCCCCTCCAAAAAATGTCTTACTTAAAAGGGGCAAAAACATCTGACACCCTGCTTCTCTTGGAGCTCTTATGTCTTGCTGCTTGTCTGCAGGCCCCTGCCTCTCACCCTATCGCCTTCTCTGATTGGGTTTGGGGGAAGGAAAGGATCCCAACTAATCTCTTATCTGCAAACTAGAAAAATTAACATACATTTAAAATCTTGTATGTAAAGAGTCTCAATGGCACTTGAATCCACTGATGTAAATTACAAATATCATTCAAGACATGGAACTATAGTGACACTCTCAGCTTAAAGGGGGAACATTTTCCTCTTATGTAATTGTAACTTTGTGGGCCCAGACAGGTGATGAGCACACAGTGAATCCATACATAAATGAAATGTGGTATTGAGTTAACTCATTCTTATTTAAAAAACAAAACATGAAAATCTGGTGGTCTTCTCTTAGCCTCTTGTAGCCACACTAGACAAAAGATCTACCACTGGCAACCTTTAGCCTAACAGAACAACCCTGTCAGAAGTGGCTTGTAACTGCTACTCCAGTTCAGAAGACACTGTCGATATTAGATATAGACAACCTGAAACACAATAGGATACCTGGTGTGCTCCATTTTTATGGCAATATGTAGACTGCTCTCCCAGCTCTTGGGTGTTTAGCAGTATTGCTGTCTGAGCTCTGAACAGTCCTGAACACTTTGAATATACATGTGCATAAAGTTATCTTGAGCCTTTTATGAAAAGTATAGGCTACAATAGAGAAATTCTAAATTTAAAAAAAAATTAATTTAACTACAGAATCCTACTTAATATTTTAAACATTTATTGTTGCAGATTCAGCTTTTGCTGCAATACTTGAAAAATGACCCGAGGAAAGCTGTGAAAAGACTTGCTATCCAAGATCTAAAGTTGTTGGCAAACAAAACCCCACATACATGGAGCAGAGAAAACATTCAGGTTTGCGATCTTTAAGAAACTTTTATTGTAAAATTTTTCAACTAAATGCAGGCTTTACACAAATGAATATAGAAGTGTAGATGAGATGTCACTGTTAAACATGGAAAACTAAGCATGTCCATTTTAAGAAGAAATTTTAGAGTTAAAAGCACCAGCAGCAGTGCTCTTTTTAAGCAATTCTTGCCTTATCACAGGCTTTGCAAGACAAACTCACATCAAGCTTCTCTCAGCAACACTAAGTAGTTTCATATTGGGCTCATATTAATAAGTTAGACGTCAGAGTGGGATGTTCTGCTACCTCAGATTAATGAACTTGGTTTTCTTGCCAGACTGACAGGTCATTTCTCATTGTAAACATGCCTACTGCATTTCAAGTTTTTCTTAATTTTAATCATCCTCAGCTGTTCACTAACGGCTGCCTGACAGAGTAGCTTAATTTAAAAAAAAACAACAACACACCTTGGTTTGTGCATTGGCTGTATTAATACATAATTTGAGTTGCCCTCCCATACCCCAGTTAAAATGCTTGGGCCACTACATTTAAAATAGATATTTTTTTTTGTAAAGTATAAAATCTAATACTTTACAAGCCAGCACAGAAAAGGCTGTACGACCAGTGCAGGTGGGAATTGATGGGAAAACTTCATGAGATGGACATTGCCTAGTTTTTCTCAGCCTACCTGGCAGGGGTGAGTAATGTGAAGAGACCGCTTGAAGAGGAGGTCTCGAATATAGCTAGATTTATCTCCATATACAGTTTTAAACACCAGCAGGGGCAGGTTATAAAATTAATTAGGGCTGTCAAACAATTAAAAAAATTGTGATTAATTGCAGTTTTAAGCACACTGTTAAACACTAATGGAATACCAATTTAAACTTGTTATATTTTTTGATGTTTTTTACATTTTTCAAATATGTTGGTTTCAGTTACAACACAGAATACAAAGTGTACAGTGCTCACTTTATATTATTTTTTATTACAAATTGTAGCAGTGCGAGGCTCACCCCTGCTCAGCACCTCCTGCTGGTTTCCTGGGAATTAGCTCTTTTTCCAGCTCCGGAGCACCCTCTGCAGGCCAGTGTCCTGCTTGCCACTGGCCCCTGTGTCCCTCCCAGTGCCCTTTACCCAGGGGTTCTGCCCACTGCAGCAACCCCTGATCTGGGCTTCCGCACTCAGGGAACCCCCTATCCCCACCTCATCTCAGTATATGGCTACTGCCAGTCACCATCTAGCCCAGGGGTTCTCAAACTGGGGGTCGTGACCCCTCAGGGGTCATGAGGTTATTGCATGGGTGGGGGGGTCACAAGTTGTCAACCTCCACCCCAAACCCCACTTTGCCTCAAGCATTTATAATGGAGTTAAATATATTTAAGTGTTTCTAATTTATGGGGGGGGGGGGGTTCGTACTCAGTGGCTTGCTATGTGAAAGGGGTCACCAGTAAAAAAAAAAAAGTTTGAGCCACTGATCTAGCCCCCGCTCACTGGGGCAGACTGCAACGTACACACCATTCATCACTGGCAAAGGGGGATTTGGATCTGCTGCCTTTGCCTACCCAAGGCTACCCCTCTGTAGCCCCAGTACCTGTCCTGGCCTTTATCAAGGCCTGCAGCCTGGGGGTTCTCGAGACTGGAGCTCCCTAGCCTTTCCCCAGATCTGCTCCATTCCAGGTACCTTTCTTAGGGGCTAGGCAGCCAGGCCCTTCTCCTTCAAGAGCTAGAGGGAGGGTGTTTGAGCTCCTGACTCCCAGCCTCTTATAAGGCCAGCTGTGGCCTGACTGGGACGTAGCCACAGCTGTGGCTATTTCCCCAATCAGCCGAGTCAGGCTGATTTCCCCAGCAGCAGCCCTCCACAGCCTCAGCCATCTCCCAGGGCTGATTTCAAGACCTTCAGGGCAGGAGCAGGTGACCACCCTGCTACACAAATATTTGCACTGTAAAAAAGAAACCAAAGATAGTGTTTTTCAATTCACCTCGTACAACTACTGTAGTAATACTCATCCAAAAATATCTAGTACTCATCCAAAAATATAATATAATTTCAATTGGTATTCTATTAGTGTTTAACAGTGCGATTAAAACTGTGATTCATTTTTTTAATAGAGTTCATTTATTTTGAGTTAATTGCGATTAATTGGCAGGAATAAAATTAATGTGTTCTCTCCTTAGCTGAGAGATCACAGACAGACCTGTGATAGGACTGCAAACTCATCAGGGCAAGGAGTGCTAGGACCGATGGGATTGGGACCTCCAGAAGCTACCATAACACAAATAGATGATAACCAAGAAAATTCACAATGTTTATTATCAACAAGCTTAGAATCTTTAATTCCCACTGGATAATTTCTCTCTTCTATTAAATCCACTTTTTTTGTAAGTGGTGTTGCAGGAGTTCTCCTTGAAACAAGGACCTTCACGGATTGTAATAAGTTGAATACTATATGCACCGTCTGCACAATGGTGGATAACTTTGTCTCCAAATTCTAGAGGTTTTATTATTGGGAAATGTCAGGTGAAAAGTTAGTGATCATTTAACAAACATAATATATTGTATTGATTGTATGATAACTTGTGAAAGCCAGTGTCACTTTGAGGACAAGACTTGTACCCAATCTATTAAAACTGCTTTAGGAGAGTGGCAAGTGAGGAAATATATTTGCAAGATCTGAATTTGGTGTCGGTAGTGATTTTTTTCCTATACAGTTTTACTTGTATTAAAATTTAACTACAAAGTTAAAAAAAAAAGAGCAAACATTTATGAAGAAGGTGAGTTTGTAGGATTTTTTTCCCCTCCATATTCTTTTCTCTTTGGTTTTTAGGCACTCTGTGAATGTGCTCTTCAAACTCCTTATGATAGCTTGAAACTAGGCATGCTATCTGTCCTTTCCACGCTGTCAGGAACTATTGCCATCAAACAGTACTTCAGCATAGCCCCAGGTAAGAAGCGTAGATTAGATAAGCCAAATTTAGGCACTTTTTTTTTGTAGGGGTTTAGTAAGTGTTCATCCTCAGCCACTTTAATATTATTATTAATACCTTACATAACACTTCCCTGAAGGATCCTAAACCATGAACTTTAATCTACCCCCATTAAAGTCCATGTAAGCAAGCTTTTATATATAATATAAAAATTATAATTGGGGTGGAGTGTAGTATATTAGAGCAGAGCTCAGACATTCTATGCCAGGCTCTGGCTTCAATTTGCTGTGGGACTTTGGATAAGTCATTTACTCCTGTGCCTCAGTGTCTCTGTTAGGCTAGGTAAATATTAATAGCCCCACTTTACTATCGGTACTGTGAGACTTAAATCATGTTTATCAGGTGCTTTGAGATCATAGGATGAAAAAATCCATAGATGTGCAAAATGCTTGAGAGAGAATGAATACATGGCGTGATGTAGTTTAGGCTTTATTGGCATGAGACTGGGACAGTTGTATTATCCAGGAGAGGCAAAGCCACTGGACAGTTATGTGGGGATGATGCACACGAGTGCCAATAAAACCTTTCTTCGACACAACTGTGTGGTCTGGATGTGTTGCATATTATACTGAATAACTTGGGAATTATTTCAGGGATCTCTTAAAATGCTTCTGAATGGTATTGGGTTTTTTTATTCCTTATTTCTGAGGCCACACTGCCTTAGTTGCTGGGAATCCAACTGCATAGGCCATGGAGGCAGAGAAAACTAACCAGTACATTTAAAAAAAACCTGCCAATGACTTGTACCCTAATGCGTAATAAAGGTTTGAATTTGGTGTAAAGGTCACAGTGTTCTCGAAATCATGAATTTGAATGAAGTCCATGACCTGGCGGCTCCTGTTCTACGGGGCTGGGCCTGGTTCCCTGCTCCAAGTGTTGTGATCTGTCCCATGTGGTTACAGCACCACTCAGGTTTGGCACATCCACCCGTCTGTAGATGGAGACGGAGAGGTGGATGTACTAAACCTGAGCAGTGTTGTGACCAGGGAGCCAGGCTCAGCCCCGTGGGACAGGAGCTACTGCTGCAGGGTGAATGTGGGTTGGGCTCACTCTCCACTCCCAGGCTTCCCACTTTCCCCTATTTGTGATTTATCAGGGTTTCTTGCACCTCTGCTGTGAAATTTATTATTCATTCCTGTGACACAATTATAGCTTATTTATGTATAAAAATGATCCCATGCTAAAGTCCGATATTCATGACCTTCTTGCAAATGCCCTGTCCTATTGGAAAGTTTCATTCACAAATATTGGCCTGAAGACTGCCTATCAGAGATGTCCAGCTTGTGTAGCATACGTGCATGCACACTGACAGGGAGAGTGAATTCCACATGTGAGGGAGGATACATTTGAGGTTGGGATAGGGGAATGGGAAATTTAACTAGAGAAACAGTCAACCAAGCAGAATTGAACTTAAAACCATGGAAAAGATCTTGTGACATGGATTACAGTGCTGCACTCTCCACCTTTTGTCGTTTTATTTAGGAACAGCAGCTACAACAGCAAGATCATTTGACTTAGTAAAGCTGGCACAGGAATGCTGTTACCATAATAACCGTGGCATTGCTGCTCATGGTGTGAGAGTTCTGACTAATATATCTGCTTCTTGCCAAGAAAAAGGTAACTCACAAAGTGGGTGGTGGAACAATTCAGCTCATGATCGGGTTTTTGTGCACTTTCTCTTACTGCAGGGAAGCTTGCCCTGTCCCCGACTCTCTTGACTTTCTTTGGAATTGTCACTCCTCAGATTTGTGGACCATAGAGAATGCGGACTTATAACCAATTATAAATATTTTGGAGAGTTTCATGAAAGATCATGAAGATTCTCCCCACTGTTGAATCCCAGGATCCCTCTGAAGAGGGTTTCTGCTTGAATGGGTGCTGATGTCTCCTGTAGCAGCCCTTGTACCATTACCAGAGGCTAGAACATTGCCCTTCTCCTCTGGAGAGCTGTTGGTACAAACCCCAGTATAAATGATTGTCATAACGTTCAGTAGTTTTGCCCTACTCCAGGCTCGTGCACATCATAAAACTGTAGCCTCTACTAAATAGTTTCCTGAGACTTGTAAAAGCAGACTTGTTGCTGATCGGAACTGAGGTGCTGTGGCAGAAGCGTTGGGAAAGTTTGCATTATCCTGCTGTTGAACCTCAGAATCATGCCCACTAAATTCACACTCCTGTTCAAAAATAAGTAGAACAGAACTGAATGCTTTACTCTGTTCCTCTCTCCTAGATCTCCTGGCTTTGGAGCAAGATGCTGTCTTTGGCCTTGAGTCTCTTTTAGTTCTTTGTAGCCAAGATAGCAGTCCAGGTGCTCAAGCAACCTTAAAGGTGAAAAGAGTTGTTATATCTGTAATTTTTTTTATCATCAAAATGTAGGGCTGGACGGGATCTTGAGAAGTTATCAAGTCCAGCCCCCAGTGCTGAGGCAGGACCAAGTAAACCTTATAATTCAACTGTCAATCCTGTTACATCTTATACCAGGGGTGGGCAAACTATGGCCCGAGGGCCACATCCAGCCCTCCAGACGTTTTAATCTGGCCCTCGAGCTCCCGCCGGGGAACACTCTGGTGCTCCAGCTGGGAGCAGTGTCGGGGGCTTGTCCCGCTCTGCGTGGCTCCTGGAAGCAGTGGCATGTCCCCACTCGGGGGCAGCATGTGGAGCCCACCCCAAGCGCCACCCCTGCAGCTTCCATTGGCCGGGAACTGTGGCCAATGGGAGCTACAGGGGCGGCACCTGCGGATGGGGCAGCGTGCAGAGCTGCCTGGCCGCACCTCCATGTAGGAGCCGGAGGGGGGACGTGCTTCTGGGAGCTGATTGAGGTAAGCGCTGCCTGGAGCCTGCACCCCTGACCACCTCCCAACCCCCTGCCCCAGCCCTGATCCCCCTCCCGCCCTCGGAACCCCTTGGTCCCAGCCCGAAGCATTCTCCTGCACCCCCAACCCCTCATCCCCCAGCCCCACCTCAAGCCGGAGCCCTCACCCCCTCCCGCACCCCAACCCCCAATTTCATAAGCATTCATGGCTTGCCATACGATTTCCATACCTAGATGTAGCCCTCAGGCCAAAAAGTTTGCCCACTCCGTCTTATATACTAGAAAGAACTTAGTGTGGCAGGTGTTCTAGTGGGAGCACAGTGTGCTGCGAGTTTCTCGGTGCTTTGCTCCCAAGGTGGTAAAGGATCAGGAGCACAATGAAGCCAGAAAAGTGGAGAAGCCATGTCTCCTATGGCAGTAACTCCTGGCAACTCTCTGAGGCCATCAATTCTACTTCTGAATTAAGTCTTGCTATTCCAGGGGGATCTCAGACGGCACCTGGTTTCGCTGGTGGAAGAACAGAAATTAACATAAGTGACCACCATACTTCTGTGAACAGTTATCTACCTAACAAGCTATTACCAAGCAAATAATTTTATAATATTACTTTGACTAAACCCATAAGAGAAGAAAATATTACACTGCTGTGTCTTGAATATGTGTGTGCTTTTAAACTGTGTACTCTTCTGGACAGAGATGTGGTGGTTTGGCAGAGTACACCTCTAGTACAGGTTTATAAATACATCTTGTTTTTCATTAGCTCTGTAATTTATAGTCTGAATATTGTGATAGTTTCTTTATATTTTTAAGTGAATTTAATGTTGGACGGTGCTTGATGTTGGAACATTGTGATGTTTGCACATTGCAGATTGCACTGACTTGTATGGTGAAGCTGGCCAAGTGTCGTCCCCATCTGAGCCAATCGGTGGTTGAGTCCTTGCTGACACAGTTGCACAGTGCTCAGGATGCTGCTAGAATTCTCATGTGCCACTGTTTAGCAGCAATTGCCATGCAGCTGCCTGTTTTAGGTGATGGCATGCTGGGAGACTTAATGGACCTCTATAAAGTGATTGGACGATCTGCTACAGATAAACAACAGGAACTTTTGGTAAGAAACTGCTGTTCAGGAGAACTGTCCTTGATGGAACAAAGTCCACATGGAATTACAATGGAAACTAATTGATATTTCATGAATTGGTTTAGCTAATTGTTACATCGGTGACTGAAAATGCTAATCTGTTGCCTCAGCAGGAATATATCAGTTCACTGTTAACTATATACTTGCAGAATGGGAAATACTAGTACTCTGAATATTCAGCACCAAAGCCACAGACCTCTGTTCTGAGTATGAGTAAGAGAGAACTGAAGTGTTTGATCCAGTCTGATCTGTATTCCTTCCAGTAGATGGCACTAGTTACACATAGGCCTTGCGTCATCTGAAGTGGGCATTCACCCATGAAAGCTTATGCTCCAATACTTCTGTTAGTCTTAAAGGTGCCACAGGACCCTCCGTTGCTTTCTATAGGCAAACCAGATCATCATAATCCACTGCTGGAACTCTTGGGGCACACTGGGTCTTTTGCAGAAGTGCTTCTAGGCAAGAAAGATGGCAGTTCAGAAGTAGATACCCCAATTATACATGGACCTTCAAACATGTATGGTTTAGAGGGTTCTAAGAGACGCAAACCTGTTGAGGGGATTTTAATTGGAAATGGGAGCTTAAGCCTGGATTTGAAAGGCTGCACTCAGTGCAGCCTTTCATCTAAGACCCATTAACAGTCATGGGATTTGGGTTTAGAAGTGCCTAAATCTCTTTTGAAATTGAGACTTTTAGGCTGCTAAATCAGTTAGACACAACATTGAGTACAGCAACGCCTAAATACATTTAAAAATCTGGGCCTTAGTCATCAAGAAAGTCTGTTACTCTTCTTTTTCATTTCATGTAATTATATTCTTACAGTGCTTTACTATGGGGTTCTCAAACTGGGGATCCGGACCCCTCAGGGGGTCATTACATGGGGGGTTGCAAGTGGTCAGCCTCCACCCCAAACCCTGCTTTGCCTCCAGCATTTATAATGGTGTTAAATATGCAAAAAAGTGTTTTGAATTTATAAGGGGATCATACTCAGAGGCTTGCTGTATGAAAGGGGTCACCAGTACAAAAGTTTGAGAACCACTTCTTTACAATGACTCTTAGCTTGGATGTATCTCTAACGTTCTAATTGAAAGTGTAAATTTGCCGAACTTCAGTGATAAAAGAACCCTTCCATTGCCTGTTTGTTTGAAATCCTAAATGAAGATTTGACACTCCGAAGTTCTCCAGTTCAGAAGCAAATTTTGTCGTGTGTGTTTTTTTAAGAAAGTCCAAGATTGTATAAAAACTTACACAATCACCACTTCCAAATGGAAATGTTTCTTCCATGTTAACGATTGTTTTCCATTAGGTATCCCTCGCCACAGTGATATTTGTTGCCAGTCAAAAAGCTTTATCTTCTGAAGTTAAAAATGTTATCAAACAACAGCTTGAGAATGTCTCCAATGGATGGACAGCATACAGGATAGCCAGGCAGGCCTCCAGAATGGTATGTGCAAGTTTCTAGAAAGAGACTTCCTGAGTAGAAAGTATAGTCAGCCACTTGAGAGTGGAGAGTTAAGTAAGCACTCAGAGGGAGGAAGAAAGTGGGGGAAGGAAAATAGTATTTTCCCTTTTTTATTTCACTATAACACTGGTTCAGGTTTGTGAAACAGGAGAGTTGTATCATAAACCTCAGCATTGGAGGCTGTAATAGGTGTCTGTAAGCATGTGGTGACCATGAGTACTGCAGCCTGAAGAAAGCGTGGCCTGATAAGGAATCAGGGATGTATCCCCCAAACACTACTCTGAATACTTTCCTTTTTAGCCTGGTAAAGTCATGTAGCCTCTGCTGTATGTATTTCTCTATCTGTATAACTGGTATAATGACTCTTTACTACCCTGAAGTGAAGATTAATTCATGTTAAACACTTTGGAGATGGGAGATGGAAAAACTAAAGACATTAATACAGAATTTTGCATTAGAGCTGAATCTCTGAGCTGTCTTGTTTAAACAATAGTACTTCCCACAAGATCATATATGCCAGACATAAGTAACTATACTGCTACATCTGAGCAGGGTTGCCTTGATCAAATGTGGAAGAGGTTTCACGGTATTTATTTTTAAAGAGTAGTTTTTGAGGGCTTGGGGTTTTTTGTTTTGTTTTTGTTTTTTATTTGTGGCTATGTCACTTATTTAAGTGCAAGAGCCTCACGTTTGTTTGTTTACTTGCCCTTTCTTAGGGTAATCATGACATGGCCAGAGAGCTGTATCAAAGCCTGCTGACTCAAGTGGCTTCAGAACACTTCTACTTTTGGCTGAACAGTTTGAAGGAGTTTTCCCATGCAGAGCAGTGTCTGACGGGGCTTCAAGAGGAAGATTATAGTTCAGCACTCTCTTGCATTGCTGAGTCTCTAAAATCTTATCACAAAGGGATAGCCTCGCTAACGGTTAGTATACATCTTCTACTCTAGTGATGGTGAGTCTGTAGGTTGTAGCAATTGTCCTTGGTTTGGTTTTTGTTAACAGGACTTTTCAAAGGCTTGGAGAAATTGTTCTTAGTGAAGCCTGCAGGAACTATTATTTTGGAACGGCATATAGGGAAAGGTCAGTTGTAACTAACTGCTGGTTGAGAGAGGAAGCATAGTCTGTTAAGGCACTGTACTGGGACTCAGGAAAACTGAGTTCAGTTCTCAGCTCTGTCACTGATTTCCTGTGCATGACCTTGAACAATTCACTTAACCTCTGCCGGAATTTCCCATCTATAAAATCAGGATAAAATCCCCTTTCTTCCATTCTCTGTTGGCTTTATTTAGATTGTAAGCTTTTTTGGCAGGGACTGTCTATCGCTATATGTTTGTACAAGGCCTCGGTAACAGGGCCTTGATTTTTGTTTGGGCCTTTAGATGTTACCATAATCTAAAAGTGATTGTGGGATATGGCATGTCTTCTAAGATGGCCATTGGTTTGAAATAGCTAATGGGGAGGGATGAAATAAGCCTGTCCAGTTGACTATTCAGGGCAAGCAGGATTAAGATGGTGCCCAATTTATATAGAGCAGAAAATTACTTAATTGTTTAACAGGATGAAAATAGTGAGAAGTTGTAAATAGCCAAGCATTGATGCAGCTGGAAAAATGTTAGGGTTTATATAAACAAACTACCCTCTGTCAAGTCACTTCAGTTTTATCATAGCCTTTGGTGAAGTTTGAACGTTCTTCTTTTCATATTTTGTCCTTCCCATTAGTCAGACATAGATGTGGTTTTTCCTGTGCCTTTTGAATGGAGCTGAAACTAACAGGGCTCCTATTTACTTGTTTGTGCATTAGCATTCTCAGTGTCAGCATAGTTCTGGCAGTAGTGTTTATATTAATTAACTGCTGCAGCTGAATCAGCAGAAAGGACCTAAACCACGTGTGTGTCCTTCATGAATGCAGTGCACTCTCCCTTCCCTTTACATTTGTGTGTGCTTAATTTATTGGCCAAATGAGTGAAGTTTTTTTAGTTTTAAAATTTCAGGGAGGGTTGCCTACTGTTCTTTTTTTAAAAATTACATTTTTTAATGTGCTGTTTTAACAGTCACTACAAGAAAAGTGTACCATTTAAAACAGGCCAATATAGGAAATACAATAACTTTTTCTTAGCCATTTTCCAGATGCTGAGGTTCTATTAAATTGGTGGGGTTGCTGTCCTATGCTGTTGCCACTCTTTGCACTCTGTGTAGGCTGCAGTCAGGAGGGAGGCCTTTGCTCTTTCACTTTGTGGGCTGCTATAGTCCAGAAGATTAAACAAAGAGCTGGGAGTCAGGAGAGGTGCTTTTATTGCTGACTGTGTCACTAACTTAGTGTGATCTGGACAAATTGCTTAACCCATTTGTGCCGAACACATCTGCTCATTGTTACAGAGCACTTTCAGATGGATGCAAAGTACTATAAGAACCAAATACTATTTTTAATACTCCCAGCTTCATCCTCCTTTCACTCCTTGTGTGACTGTCAGCCTGCCAGTCAATGCTGCTTAAGGGACATTTGTGACCCATCATTGCAGTCACTGCATATCCCTGTTCTAGCAGTCACTGCATATCCCTGTTCTAGCAGTCACTGCATATCCCTGTTCTAGCAGTCACTGCATATCCCTGTTCTA